TAGGCTTACTCCCGGTGAATCAAAATGCCATCAATCATGGCATTTTGATTCACCGAGAGTAAGCCTAAGAGCTAAAGTAGGAGTAAGAAATAAAATGGATTTATTTCCTTACTCCTACTCCTTACTCCAGCTTACTCCATGTATTGTAGACCAGCCTTAAGAGCTGAAGTAGGAGTAAGAAATAAAATGGATTTATTTCCTTACTCCTACTCCTTACTCCAGCTTACTCCATGTATTGTAGACCAGCCTTTAGACTACTCCCGGTGAATCAAAAAGCCATCAATCAGTGTTACAATTATTTTAAAAATCATGCCCGTATTTCAGCTTCCTTACACCAAAAGGTAGAAGTTAGGGCTCTCCCTTACGATCCTTACTCCACGCTTACTCCACGTATCGTAGACCACGCATTAACGTTTCCAAATTGCACTTGCAGGCGATACGTTTATCGAGGCGGTCGCACGGCGTCCCCGGGCGCGATTTCTCTCACCTCACCGGCCTCCCGACTCCGCGTCCGTCCGCGAGAGACGCGCGCACGTTGCGCAGAAGGTATCTCCCTTTAATCTACCCTTCGACAGATGTCTACATATATACACGCGCGCCGAATGTATATATACGAGTAACACAATGGCTCTCTGTCCCAGCGGAACACGCAAGGACGCAATTGCGCGTTTTGAAGGCGCGTAACAGCCCGGAGAAAGAGAGAGAGAGAAGGGAAGAGACGCGGGATCGGACACGTGGTGCATCGACGCGGTCTTCCTTTCATCACGCCTTTCCTCCGGTAAGCACAACAGTCTCCTCCGCTTGTCCTGTCCCTCCTCTCTTTCTCTCTGTCTCTCCCTTTACGGTCCTTCCCCCCCCCCCCTTATCTCTTTCTCGTGTGTCCGTAGCCACAGCTCCCGGTCGTCATTTTCAAATGACGTCGTGTGGTCGTCGCTCCTTCCTTCCTCGCCTCACGTAGCAACCTTTGACTCCCGAGGGCTTACGTGCTTGCGTGAAGGGACGCCGAGGGAGACACGAATGTGGAAACAAAGAGCCCTGGAAAGTCCACGGGACCTCGGGATCTTTGCGTACTTTAAAGCAAAGCTTTAAAGATGATTCAAACGGATCGTGTCGGTCGAGATTGGAGTTTGTGCGTAAAACCTGTGCGTCGGTAGATGCCGTCGCTTAAAAAATGCGTACATTATTTACTTGAGTTAACGCTCGGAGAGAAAGAGAGTGAGATAAAAGTGCGTGAGATTCGCGGGCCATTGTGTCGCGTTTTTAAGCGACGACTGGAGCCCGGTCTGATCGTTCTGACCGTGACGTTTTCCGAGTTTAAATTCACGCAATAGCTACGTGTCGAGAGAAAGAGAAAAAAAAAGGAGAAGTCGAAGAAGCCTAAAGTGTGAAAAGTGGAACCGAAGCGAAGAGATTCTTGTCTCTTGTTTATCTCTGGAAAGTCGCTCCGATTGATTGAGAGAAGACAAATCTGTTTCTCAGCTGTGAATACTAACCGAGGACAAAAAGAGGCGTTTCGGAAATCTCTCGGCTGTCTCGTTCTTGCCTGCGGAAAGAAGAGCTCACGTGGGGGACGACAATGTCCAAGACGACCTTAATCGCAAATCATGCTCGCATAATATTATCTTGCGTTTGAACAACGGACGAGGTTAAAAAGCGCGTCGTATTTACATGCGTACAGCGAAAGCGTGGTCTTATCTTTCGACAATTTTATTCGTGCAATTTGCGCACGGTTGTATAAATCTATAATTAATAAGTGTACACAATTGATAAAAGTTTTCTATTGACTTTACGCTTTCGCTGTAACATATGTATCTGTAATACATATATCATATGCAATGTACATACAGTGCAAGAAACAGGGTTCAAGTATTGTTCCAGTGAAAAAAATAAGCTGACGTGCTTTATTTTTTTTCAATAAAGCTGCCAGTTACGTCAAATCTCACCTTGTTTGTTACTTGTTCACTGGCGGAGACAGAGAATCTTAGGTATCAGTTATATAAGATTATATGCATCACATTATGTGTTGGTTGTTACAGGTTTTCCGTGAAGGCTCGCAAAGTCGCATCCTGATAAATCTCGTCGTCCCACAGCCAGCTGTGCGTCTGTTAATTCGCCAGCAAACGGCGGGATGAGCGTGCGTACGCAAAGGCTGCTGCTGTGCGCGCTCGTGATCCTAGGCGTCATTTACCTCTGCACGAATCGGCGTACGAACGACAAGGATGTGTCCCTGAAGCGGCTCCTCGCCGCCGCGATAAGAGCGGCGGAGATCGGAGGGCTGGAGGTGGTGGCGGTGCACGATCAGAGTAAATTCAAGATAGAGAGCAAAGGCCAGACGAAGGAAGGTAGCTGTTGTCACCCGTCACGTTTCTATTTCTCACATTATGATTTCACACTGACGAAGGCCTGGCGTCAGATCGAAACGTCCGCTTTTTGCGAATTTTTAAATACGAACGTAGCACGAACAACCGGCTTCGACTCTCTTTGCCTCTTTTTATTTATATCGATTTTTATCTTATGGCCCTGATTTAAATTTTCTGATTATGCTTTTATGTTGGAAAGTCTTTTATTCTCTTAAATCGACAGACCTTTGCAAAGATGTAAAACAGTGATGTGACTTTTCTTTATCTTTAAAGGCGTAAATGATCCGGTAACAGCGGCGGACTACAGATCTCACTGCGCCATGTACCGCTCTTTGACAGAGGCATTCCCAGGAATTACTGTGATATCCGAGGAAACGTCGCAGGATTGCGATAAGATTGTAGTAGAAGACATTAAGAATTATGTCAAAAGTATCGAAGGTTACGAGCTAAGTGACGATATTGTCAACGTTAATGATGTTACAATTTGGATAGATCCTCTGGACGCCACCAAAGAGTTCACAGGTAAAGGCGCATCTTTGCCATCGTAATATTCCGCAGTTACCTCTAACAAAATTACTTTTCAGGTTACTTGCACGGCAGAAACAGTTATTTTTAAGACGACTGATATGGTGCAATTTTTGTGTTTGAACGTATTCGTGTCACGATCGATAGGTTGGCCACAAAAATTTCACTGGAGATATCCAAAGATTAGATTTTAGACAATGAGCTTGAGGAAAATGTATTACCTGCAATTGCAATTTTGGAAACATTAATACTTTCATGATCGGTCACGGCTAGATATTGAAGAAGCGCCGACTGTTTTCAGGATCGAACAATAATATAGATTTTTGGACGTTATATGATACACAATGTCCAATCGCATAATCGCATCAGTACTGTAATAATATATTATGAACAATCTCAGAAATATTAAGATGTTGCGGGTAAAGCTTATTCCTGAAATAATTTAACATGTAGACGCAGTAGTTTGACACTTGAAAATTGGAAAATCATTAATACATCGAGTTTTTATATACCGGATATCCCAGACTTACCGAGTTCTCTCTTTTAGTATTGGACACAAATCTTTGAATAAATTGGATACGTGGTAGTTCTGGGATATTTTATACTTTTAGCTCGATGTAGTTTCTTACAGACCGAGTTTGCTTTCGCACGTCTATACTATCACGTATTATACTATTATATTTGTAGAGAATTTACTGCAATATGTATCTACTATGGTATGCATAGCCGTCAAAGGACAACCAATTATTGGCGTTATATATAAACCGTTTGAGACAAAGCAGAATTATAGCTTGTTCTGGACGTGGAGCAGTCACGGTGTGTCGAGAAACTTGAAAAATTTGCCCAAGGTAATTGTGTGAAATCAAGGTAATTTAAGGAAATTATTAAATAACTTTCATAACACATTATTTAACTAATCGTTTGTTGAACAGGTAAAGGACAATAAAACACCTGTATTAATTGTATCTCTTTCACATGCTGGACAAGTAAAAAATTCGTCTAAAGTTGCCTTTGGCGACAACGTTAAAATTATTTCTGCTGCTGGTGCAGGTGAAAAGTTTTTTTTCAATATCGCAATTTTATTTCAACAATTCGCTATTAAAAACTCGTGAATGGAAGTGAAGACGGATAATTTTACGTATTTTTCTGTTTTAAGGCTCACGTTCTTTCTCATTTTCCATTACTCAGCGTTCTTTTCATAATCTTAATTTTTATCCTCATTAGGAATTTTATATGAAATATATAAATATAAAAAGTATTTGGTTTCAGGATACAAATTTTTGGAAATAGCTGCAGGCAATGCGACAGCGTACGTTCATACGACTGCTATAAAGAAATGGGATATATGTGCTGGCACTGCAATTCTTAGGTACTGCTATTTAAGCACTTGGCTTAATACTACGTAGTACAAGTTTACTAATTTATTTGTCGTTTTATAGTGCTTTAGGAGGAACAGTGACACAGTTGTACGATCAACAACCGATCTACTTCGGAGCGAACGATGCCAAAGTACTTACGAAGGGTCTTTTAGCGACTATGAGTGATCACGCGTGGTATTCCGAGAAATTCTTACACGACTTTCCATCCGATTCACACTAATCCGGATATGCCCGAAGTCCTTTTTCACGAGATACTTGATTTGGAGAATTTCTCGTTTCTATGAACATAAGAGCAGGAAAAAAATGTATATGGTTGAAGACAATTATTATTTGTGCGGTTGAGACAAGATGATGTTTCTTAAATGATGGGCAAACATACCGCAAACATAATATCAGCATCATGAATGTTGAATAATTAAAACGCTGCGATAATGTCCCTGTAGAAGGACCGTGAGCAAGTCGGGATTAACCAAGACTACAATGTATCAAGAGAGGATTAAAAGTGTTTATAAATCCTGCTTAAAAAAAAGATTCATGTTTCAATAAAAAATATTAATATGTGCTCATATACGTAATAAGATCACATATCTTCCAGTAGCTGTCATTAAGTATTTATTATGAAAAATGAATTTGTCATAAATTGTATAAACCAAGTAGGCTTTTATATAATAAATGAAATAATAAGTATTTTATTACCAAGTTATTTCATACACTTTTATTACAAATGATTTGTGATTTTATAAAAACAGTCAATTAGTCAAAATGCCTTTTTATCACGTAACATTTTTACCTTGCATTCCTCTCGGACTTGATTTTGTACGATAAAACGCATAGATTTATTTGTCTAGCCTTACTTTATTTCCTGAAACATGTATTACGCATCCTTTCAACTTGTTCACCGCCTTGTTAAACTTCTCCACAGCTTTTGTGTATTCAGTCAATTTAAAGGTATTGTCGTTTAAGCTAAAAACGTAATATATACACTTGTTCATAACTTTATTTTGTAATTTCCTTAAAGACATTTCACCCCTGGCCCGCAAAATGTCTAGGATAGTCTGCTTCCATTGAAACTTAGCGACGTCGTTTCCACTATCGCCCGTTTCTGAACCGGGTTGTTTCCTAATCTTTGCAGCAGTCTGACCCTCCTCCGCCAATTGAACACCGGCCGGGTCTAACCGCCGCTTTTTAGATTTATCTCGCCTTTCGTGCAGATGCCCGTTAGTCATCTTGCACACTTCGTCACTTCCATTTTGACGACTCGGGGAATGATTCTCTTTGCATAGATTTTCATTATTTTGATTCTCCGCGACATTCTGATTGTCAATCGAGTTGTTAACATCCGTATTTTGGGCCACCTCATCCGCTGGAAATCAAACATTCGACTTATATTTATTACATCAATGTTTCGTCACATATAATGCACATTCCTGAAATTCGTACTACAAGCAGCTCTTTCAGTAAACCTGATCAGAAATGGTAAGTTGTAAGAAAAACACTCACATTTGCTCTGCTCTAAACTTTGCGCGCTGTTCTTCTCCGGAGTTTTGGCTGCCGCTTGCTGACTTTGCCTGTGCATACTCTCCATCTTGTCCCAGACACTGTTCACAACTGTGGCGTGCACACGATTGCCCATCGCGTTGCGCACAAAGTTAAGGAACTTTACCTTCTTCCTGGGCACGTTCTCATACTTGGACAAAATGTTGAGGAAATTACGCTCCGCGTTGGACAGATCCGCTGTCCCGTTCAGCAAGTCGCCAACGATGGTGATCCACTCTTGCTGCTTGCGCTCGCCCTTGTTCGCGCTCGGCTTCGGCACGTAATCCTTGGCGTTGTACCTCTCAGCCTCGGTTATGCATTTAGTGTGCGCGACGTACTCGTCACCTCTTCGGGAACAATGGATATCAATTGTTAGTACATATAGATTCACATTTGATCGAATTTATCGAGTTATCGGCACAGAAACGTCCCTTGTTTCTCCTTTTTTTTTAAATCAAGATACTTGAAAATACCACTTTAAGTATTTCTACAATGTCGGTTTCTCAAATTACATTAAGTATTGTAGAAAAGTCCGCGAGGTCCCTTCTACGCCGAGGAGAAATCTATTGATCTGTTATTTGGATTCTTACCGAAAATCCTTCAGGCAGTCCACGCAGGTTACGAAAGGTGGTGCATTCCGGCACTTTTGTTGATAATGCACAGCCACTTTGGGCTTTTTCAACGGGTCGCCGCAATGGTTGCAAGTAAAGACGACCATACTGCGATTATTTGCGCAATCGGGTAGCACTGATCGAAATAATGCTAAACGTGACGAGCGTGCCGTCGAGCAACGTTAACCTAACCTACAAGAGCACCGCGTAGACCGGTATTGCGCGAGCACGAGGCGATCGAGGTAAGGACTCAATGGAGCATAGTTGAGAATATATAATATGGTTGCCATAATTCTCGACTATGATTGGTCAATTCGTTTATTGCTTACGTCTTATCGCTTAAGGCCATTTGTGTGCCACGGCTCTAAGGCTGGGTCTACATAGGATGTAGTAAGTCGTGTCGGAAGAAATTGACCAATCATAGTTCATTATTCTTCGACCGTAAGGAGAATAATGAACTGTGATTGGTCCATTTCTTCCGATACGACTTACGACATCCAATGTAGACCCAGCCTAAGACTGACGTAGTCGTAGACTTAAGGTAAGGCAGAGAAAAACGTAAGCCGTGGAACACCGTGTTCATTAAATATACAAATCTTTCAGGAAAAATATATTTAAAAGTCTGGGACAATTTAGAATTCCTCAGTATATACCAAATAAAGTATGCTGTGTGGGATACGTTCAAAAATAATTTTTAATATTTAATAACATTTAATAAATTCCATCTTAACTCAGAGAGCCGAGAAGCGACCACTTCGATCTTAGCTCAGAGAGTCGAGATGTGACCTATTCCATCTTAGCTCAGAGAGCCGAGATGTGACCTATTCCATCTTAGCTCAGAGAGCCGAGATGCGATTACTTCGATCTTAGCTCAGAGAGCCGAGATGTGACCTATTCCATCTTAGCTCAGAGAGCCGAGATGCGATTACTTCGATCTTAGCTAACAGAGCCAAGAAGCGATTACTTCG